AAAGTTAATCAAAAGAGATAAAGAGGGACACTACATACTGCTTAAGGGAACCATACACCAACAAGACATAACAATCATAAATATTTATGCCCCAAACAATGGTGCAGCTATGTTCGTCAAACAAACTCTTCTCAAGTTCAAGAGTCTAATAGACCACCACACCATAATCATGGGAGACTTCAACACACCTCTCTCGCCACTGGACAGATCTTCCAAACAAAAGTTGAATAAGGAAACTATAGAACTCAATAACACTATTAATAACCTAGACCTAATTGACATATATAGAGTATACCACCCAACATCAAGCAGTTACACTTTTTTCTCAGCAGCACATGGATCCTTCTCAAAAATAGATCATATATTATGTCACAGGGCAACTCTTAGACAATATAAAGGAGTAGAGATATTACCATGCATCTTATCTGATCATAATGGAATGAAACTGAAAATCAACGATAAAAGAAGGAAGGAAAAAGCATACATCAATTGGAGAATGAACAATAGGTTACTGAATGATCAATGGGTTATAGAAGACATCAAGGAGGAAATTAAAAAATTCTTAGAGATAAATGAAAACACAGACACAACATATCGGAATCTATGGGACACATTGAAAGCAGTTCTAAGAGGAAAATTCATTGCTTGGAGTTCATTCCTTAAAAAAAGAAAAAACCAACAAATAAATGATCTCATACTTCATCTCAAAATCCTTGAAAAAGAAGAGCAAAACAACAGCAAAAGAAGTAGAAGGCAAGAAATAATTAAAATCAGAGCTGAAATTAATGAAATCGAAACAAAAGAAACAATTGAAAAAATTGACAAAACTAAAAGTTGGTTCTTTGAAAAAATAAACAAAATCGACAGACCCTTAGCGATGCTAGTGAAGAGAAGAAGAGAGAGAACTCAAATTACTAGCATACGGGATGAAAAAGGCAATATCACAACAGACACTTCAGAAATACAGAAGATAATCAAAAACTATTTTGAATCCTTATACTCCAATAAATTAGAAGATAGTGAAGGCATAGATAAATTTCTTAAGTCATATGATCTGCCCAGATTGAGTCAGGAGGATATAGAAAACCTAAACAGACCAATATCAATTGAGGAGATAGAAGAAACCATCAAAAGACTACCAACTAAGAAAAGCCCAGGTCCCGATGGGTATACAGCAGAATTTTACAAAACCTTTAAAGAAGAACTAATACCAATACTTTTCAAGCTACTTCAGGAAATAGAAAAGGAGGGAGAACTTCCAAATTCATTCTATGAGGCCAACATCACCCTGATACCTAAACCAGACAAAGACACTTCAAAGAAAGAAAACTACAGACCAATATCTCTAATGAACCTAGATGCAAAAATCCTCAATAAAATTCTGGCGAATCGGATACAAAAACATATAAAAAAAATTGTACACCATGATCAAGTAGGATTCATCCCTGGGATGCAAGGCTGGTTCAATATACGGAAATCAATAAATGTTATTCACCACATCAATAGACTTAAAAATAAGAACCATATGATCATCTCGATAGATGCGGAAAAAGCATTTGACAAAGTACAGCATCCCTTTATGTTCAAAACTCTAGAAAAACTAGGGATAACAGGAACATACCTCAATATTGTAAAAGCAATCTATGCTAAGCCTCAGGCTAGCATTATTCTGAATGGAGAAAAACTGAAGGCATTCCCTCTAAAATCTGGAACAAGACAGGGATGCCCTCTCTCTCCACTTCTCTTCAACATAGTTCTCGAAACACTGGCCAGAGCAATTAGACAGATGAAAGAAATTAAAGGCATAAAAATAGGAAAAGAAGAAATTAAATTATCACTATTTGCAGATGATATGATTCTATATCTAGCAGACCCAAAAGGCTCTACAAAGAAACTATTAGAGCTAATAAATGAATTCAGCAAAGTGGCAGGATTTAAAATTAACACGCATAAATCAAAGGCATTCCTGTATATCAGCGACAAATCCTCTGAAATGGAAATGAGGACAACCACTCCATTCAAAATATCTTCAAAAAAAATAAAATACTTGGGAATCAACCTAACAAAAGAGGTGAAAGACTTATACAATGAAAACTACAGAACCCTAAAGAGAGAAATAGAAGAAGATCTTAGAAGATGGAAAAATATACCCTGTTCATGGATAGGCAGAACTAACATCATCAAAATGGCGATATTACCAAAAGTTCTCTATAGGTTTAATGCAATGCCAATCAAAATCCCAATGGCATTTCTTGTAGAAATAGAGAAAGCAATCATGAAATTCATATGGAAAAATAAAAGACCCAGAATAGCAAAAACAATGCTAAGCAAGAAGTGTGAATCAGGCGGTATAGCGATACCAGACTTCAAACTATACTACAGAGCAATAGTAACAAAAACAGCATGGTACTGGTACCAAAACAGGCGTGTGGACCAATGGTACAGAATAGAGGACACAGAAACCAATCCACAAAACTACAACTACCTTATATTTGATAAAGGGGCTAAAAGCATGCAATGGAGGAAGGATAGCATCTTCAACAAATGGTGCTGGGAAAACTGGAAATCCATATGCAACAAAATGAAACTGAATCCCTTTCTCTCGCCATGCACAAAAGTGAATTCAAAATGGATCAAGGAACTTGATATCAAATCAGAGACGCGCCGTCTGATAGAAGAAAAAGTTGGCTACGATCTACAGTCGGTGGGGTCGGGCTCCAAATTCCTCAATAGGACACCCATAGCACAAAAGTTAATAACTAGAATCAACAAATGGGACTTACTCAAACTAAGAAGTTTTTTCTCAGCAAAAGAAACAATAAGAGAGGTAAATAGGGAGCCTACATCCTGGGAACAAATCTTTACTCCTCACACTTCAGATAGAGCCCTAATATCCAGAGTATACAAAGAACTCCAAAAATTAGACAATAAGATAACAAACAACCCAATCAACAAATGGGCCAAGGACCTGAACAGACACTTCACAGAGGAGGACATACAGTCAATCAACAAGTACATGAAAAAATGCTCAACATCTCTAGCTGTCAGAGAAATGCAAATCAAAACCACCCTAAGATACCATCTCACTCCAGTAAGATTGGCAGCCATTAGGAAGTCAAACAACAACAAGTGCTGGCGAGGATGTGGGGAAAAGGGTACACTTGTACATTGCTGGTGGGACTGCAGATTGGTGCAGCCAATTTGGAAAGCAGTATGGAGATTTCTTGGAAAGCTGGGAATGGAGCCACCATTTGACCCAGCTATTCCCCTTCTTGGTCTATTCCCTAAAGACCTAAAAAGAGCATGCTACAGGGACACTGCTACATCGATGTTCATAGCAGCACAGTTCACAATAGCAAGACTGTGGAACCAACCTAGATGCCCTTCAATAGACGAATGGATAAAAAAAATGTGGCATTTATACACAATGGAGTATTACTCTGCATTAAAAAATGACAAAATCATAGAATTTACAGGGAAATGGATGGCATTAGAGCAGATTATGCTAAGTGAAGCTAGCCAATCCCTAAAAAACAAATGCCAAATGTCTTCTTTGATATAAGGAAAGTAACTAAGAACAGAGTAGGGACGAAGAACAGGAGAAGAAGATTAACATTTAACAGGGATGAGAGGTGGGAGGGAAAGGGAGAGAGAAGGTAAATTGCACGGTAATGGAAGGAGACCCTCAGGGTTATACAGTGGAGGGGGTAGAGAGAGAGGAGGGGAGGGGAGGGGAGAGGTGGGGAGGGGGGAGGGTGGATGATGGGAAAGGCAGCGGAGCACAACAGACACTAGTATGGCAATTTGTAAATCAATGGATGTGTAACTGATGTGAATCTGCAATCTGTGTATGGGGTGAAGGTGGGAGTTCATAACCCACTAGAATCAAAGTGTGGAATATGATATGTCAAGAAATTTGTAATGTTTTGAACAACCCACAATAAAAAATTAAAAAAAAAAAAAAAAAAAAAAAAAAAAAAAAAAAGTAAATTGTATCTGTGTTTTATTTTGGTACCTTAGGAAATCCACTTAAGCGACCCTTAGTTGGCTGCCCACGCTGGTCAGGGACAGTAGACAGAGACTGCCCACCTCCCATTCACCACACACGAGTTTCCCGTAGAAAGCCATTTGGCTGTGTTCTTCTCAAGCATGCTGTCTGCCAGATGAGAGGAGTGTGAGAGTGTCCTGGCAGAAACAGAATGGAGCAGGGGGGTTACAAGTTCAGCCAAAGCTGGGGAACTGAGGAATGGGGAGAACTCAGGGGAGGTTGTGACTATATCATGTTCTACATCTTTCCTTCTTGTCTCTGTTAAAGGAGCAGCAGAAGCCTATCAGAGGGGGAAGAGGGCCTCCTCTCCACAGCAGACTCTCATGCCATGGAATTAGAATTGCATATAAGATCAGAGTTTGCAAACTGGATGGATCACTTAGTAATTAAGAGTCATATGAATACTATGGGCTCTGCCCAAGTTGCTGCTGAGAGACAAAGAAGAAGGAGACAGAGCTCATCAAAGGCAGTGATTTGAAAATAGAAAGGATTAAAAACATGTCCTTATTTCATAGTATTAAGACTACCCCATCAAGTGTTTTTAACTTTATACTTTAAAAAGTCTTTCTTATGATGGTTTCCACTGGCATGAAGCAGATTAAAAGGAAGCATGTGCTTTACTGTTTTAAATACAATAATGTTCTTGGTAGAAATTTATGTGCACTAAATAAATTTATAGTCCCATAATATGAATAAAGCATGGCATGTTTATACTTGTTCTCCTGATAGCAAGTATGTGGTTCCAACCTCTGCTCTTTATATGGCTGCAATGAACATCCACATATCCTTAGGTACTGATACAAATATTTCTGTAGAACAGGTTCTTAGAAGTGGAATTATTTGGATTCAAGGATGTTTGCATTTGTACATAACAAATCCCAATATTATGCATACTTATACCAATAAAAATAAATTAAAAAAATAAAAAAGACTCTTGTAGACATTACCAAAATTGACCTCAATTTGCATCAGTTTATAAGCCAATAAAAAATGTGTGGGAGTGATACATGGGGAATCTTTGTTTTTTTAGTGACAATTTCCCTGTGGTGCCAATAATAACAGGACGTTGCTTCACTGTGGAGATTTTAGCTTTGCTAGTCATTGAGTTGGGTGTCCAGAGTCAAGCAATGGAAGCCTTGCAGCAAGATACATCACAGGTTTATACAGTCATCTCTCAGTATCTGCAGGGGTATTGTTGCCAGAATTCTCCTCACCTTCCCAAGGGTACCATAACAGAATCTGCCCAAGTTCAAGACCCTTATGTAATATAGCATAATATTTGCATACAACCTACTCATGTCCTTCAACATACTTTAAGTTGTCTCTTATTTATTTATTTACAATATTTTTTAGTTGTAGATGGACACAATATCTTTATTTATTTATTTATATGGTGCTGAGGATTGAACCCAGTGCCTCACACATGGCAGACGAGCACTCTACCACTGGGCCACAACCCCAGCCCCTGTATTTATTTATTTTTATGTGGTGCTGAGGATCGAACCCAGGGCTTCACGTGTGTGAGGCAAGTACTTTACCACTGAGCTACAACCCCTGCCCACTCTCAATTATTTAAAATACCTAATGATGGAAATTCTATGTAAACAGTTACACTATAGTGCTTAAAGAATAATAACAAGGAAACAAATTTACATGTTAAGTACAGATGCATTTATCAGATTTTTTGATCTGTTTGGTTGAATCTGCAGATATGGGATCTGCAGACACAGAGAAGTGCCTGTATTTTGTAGACTGGATGGAGATTCATACACAATTGCTGTGTTCACCCTTTTCTAATTTTGAGGAATATCTGCATGGGAAATGGGAGCAGTTGGGAGAACTAAACGCACCATGTCCTGTTTTTAGAAATTTATCTAAGAGTTATGGAGCACTTGCTGAAGAGACTTGGGTTCTTACTTAGGCCTGGGTGGCCTCCAGCATGGTCTTCGCAGTTCACAAAATGTGTAGCTTCCAGCTTGAAAGTTGGGCTTCCCCATTATTGAAAATAGACTAATGATACCATTGGTTATTTAAAAAACAATTCAATATTGTCTTTTGTATCCACTATGTGTTTGCTTTTCCTATTAAAATGTGAAAATGATCCTAAAGGAGTAATGTTTACATAGGGTCAGGAAACATTATTTTTGAAATATGCACTGCATTATTATTTTTTATAGTTACCATTCTGTATGATAAATCAGTGAACTTATTTACCCTGATCTACCTAAAATTTTATACTGTTTGGTCAATATTTCCCCTTTCCCCAGCCAATGCCACCCTGGCTTCATCATCCATCATCCAACTGTCTCCTATGAGTTCAACTTTTTTAGATTGTATATATTGGTGAGATTATATGGTATTTGTCCCTCTGTGCCTGGCTTATTTCACTTAGCATATTGTTTTCCATATTGTATACACACACACACACACACACACACACACACACACTGTTCATCTGTATTATCACAAATAACAGAATCCACCCTGTGTTTATGTATTATTTACTTATTTTTCCATACTACGGATTGAACTTAGGAACACCACTGAACCACATACCCAACCCCGGTGTTATTTCCTTATTTTTGAGACAGGGTCTGCCTTTGAATTTGCAATCCTTCGGCCTCAGCCTCCCAACTCAATGGGGTTACAAGCATACCGTCATGCCCTAATTATCTTCCTTTTTTTTTTGATAATAGACATTTTAACAGTGTGAAACATCTTATTGTGGTCTTAATTTGCATTGCCCTGGTGATTAGTGATGATGAACATTTTTTTTAATGTGTCTGTTGGCCATTTATGTTTGTATGTCTTGTTTGAAGAAATGTCTTTAATTTCTTTGCTTTTTTGCTGGAAGTGTCGCTGGGAATTGAACATAGGGCTTTATTACTCACGCATGCTAGGCAAGTATCTACCATGGATCTACATTCCCAGTTCTTTGGCCATTTTTGGATCATTATTTATTTTGTTGCTATTAAGTTGTTCAAGTCTATTATATATTTTGAATATTCATCCCCTAACACATAGTTTGCAAATATTTTTGCTCAATCCATGTATTGTTTCTTCATCCTGTTGTTTATTTTGCTGTGCTGAAGCTTCTTTGATGCAATGCCTTTGTTTATATTTATTATTGTTCCCTGTGTTTTTGGCCTATATATAAGTAGTCTTTGCTCAAACCAATGTCATGGAGCAATTCCTCTGTTTTATTCTAGAAATATTACAGTTTCAGGTCTTATGCTTAATTCTTTAACCCATTATAAGAACTAAATTCATATATATTTTAAAAATAGAGAAGAAATTAAAAAAAAAAATAAAACCTAACAATCACCATTTTCTTATCCAAAGAAGATCACTTAACTTTTAGGTTTATCCTTCCTTCTCTCCACCCTGCCACTGCCAACTGTTTTAATCTGAAAAATTTCAAATCTACAGCAAAGCTGCATGAGTAGTGCAACAAACATCTGTACACTATTTGCCTAGATTGACTAAGTGTTATTTTGTCATATTTGTTTTATCTTTTTCTTTATATCTCTGTGTGTGTCTGTGTGTATCTTCCCACTTAGTCACTTGAGTCAGTTGCAGTTATTGTGATTTATCTCTAAAAGCTTCAGCATATTTGATAAAAACAAGAAGTCTTCTGAATAACCATAGCACAAATGTCTCACTCAGAAAATTAATATTCACTTAGTAATTTAAAGTTGTTATTTCATTTTCCTTAGTTGTCAAATTAATGCCTTTTTATGCTAAATTTAACCACTTGCTTAGTCTGTCAGATTACCATCACAAAGGTAACCATTCCCTTTAAATTTATAAAAGTTGTGCAAATTTACTATTTTAAGACAGAAAATACATTGTTCTCCAAAAGCTTTTACCCCACAGTTTTAGGATTCACTGGTGATTTTTATCTACCTTAATTATTTCCATGGTGTTGTGAACTGTTTAGGGTCCTCTCTCTCCTTTTACCTCTTTCAGCTAAATTCCAACTCTTTAAAAAAAAACAACAAAAACTTCCTAGTGGTGTGCAGTGGTGAATGCCTATAATCCCAGTGGCTTGAGAGGCCAAGGCACAAGGCACCCAGCAAATCAGTGAGATCCTGTCTCTAAATAAAAAAACAAAATAGGGCTGGGGATATGGCTCAGTGGTTGAATGCCCCTGGAGTTCAATCCCCGATACCAAAAAAAAAAAAAAAAAAAAAAAAAATCCTGTTTTTCTTAAAAAAGAAAAAGAAATTAAGTGTCTACATGGTCTCATTCAATGCACTATAATACACTGTTATTTATTTTGATGTTCAAATTGTTCTATAATTGGTCAGGGAAGCCCCTCCAAGCTGGCACCTATGTACTTTTGCTTTATGCACGGGCTTTTCTTTATTTTTCAATATTTATTTAATTGACAAATAAAAATTATATATTTATGGTGTTTTATATGTATATGTACACACATACATATCTATATAAAGTTCTGTGTGCTTCACAGACGGGCTGTGGAATGGCAAGCTACACACACACACACACACACACACATAATCATTGTGGAATGGATAAATCAAGCTAATTAATTACCTCACATACATTTTTTGTTGTAATTGAAAACATTTAAAATTTACTCAGTGATTTTTAAGCATACAATACACTGCTAATAACCATAGTCATTATTTTGTACAATAGAACTCTTGAACTTGTTCTTCCTGCCCATCAGTTTCTGAGCACCGTTTTTTTTTTTTCTTTTCTTTTCTTTTTATTTACTTTGTACACCAAGATGGTACAGGCTTTTGTACTTCCTCTACCCACCCTTGGAATCAGCCATTTCTCCAAATTTATTTTAGTCGTAAATAGTATTTAAAGCTAGGATCTGAGCCATAGATGAACTTATTACTTATGAGGTGTCATTACTGATAAATTTTTGTAGAGCTAGCAAATTTATACAAAAAGTATGTGCCAATTATATGAAATAATCAATACTTCTAATCTAGTCCCACAATACCTCATCCCAGTTCCCCCATTACAATTCCTTTCCCATCTCCCGCATTGAGTAGTCTGGTTCCCATGTGTCATCGATTATATTTTTACTCATTAGCTGAATCTTATATGCAAATAATCTTTGAAAGTGCCTCTTAAAGAAAACTATATACACACATCTGCATAGGCAAATGTACTCCTACCTCTTGTTCCCCCTCCGCTGCTCTGAGCCTTTAGGCTTTGCTCACATTTTAGTCGGTGCATATTTGTTGGCTATAGAGAAAGCCAGAGAGCAAAGGAGTAACCAGCATTCCCAGGAAGCTTCCCAGGCCTGGTCTTGCAACCCGGGGAGAGCCTCACCACAGACCTAAGTCGGTATCCAAGGGATCATAAGGCTGTAACAGGCAGTCCAAGTCGTTCTCTTCTGGGATGCACGTCCCTCTAGCCGGCCAAGAGCAGATGGTTAGTGGATCAGGGTGTTCTCCACCATCGTGGGCCCTGGGCCTGAAATATGCGCAGAGAGCCCCTGAGAAGGTGTCTGTGAAGGTGAAGATATGGGAGCCATCCGACACGTTAAAGAAGGACAGCTTTCCTGCCTCACAGTCCAGGAAGATGCCCACGCGGCGCGGAGGCACGCGCAGAGTGAGCGCTACACGGTGTGGGTCCAGGACGAAGTACTCGCAGCTGTTCCACAGCCCCATCACCCAGTAGCCACCAGCCGGGCTCAGGCGCGCGGGTCCTGAGCGTTGCACAGTTGCCAGACAGGCGCCCAGGAACCAGCGGCTCCTTCGGCCCACGTGCACTTCCCAGTAGTGGCGGCCTGTGGAGAAGCGCTCCCGGCTCAGGACGCATGTTTGCTCAGTGAACCTTTGCGGACAACCATCTGCAAGAATCGGTACCGCTGGGCGAGAAGAAACGCTTTTGGCATCCTTAGAAACCTCCAGGCTGGGGTGCGCTGTGGTTGCATCCAAGGTCACGTCCACTGCTCAAAAGCACAGGGTTAGTGCCAGCTGAGGATGGTTCTTGGACCCTTCTGTTCCCTCCCCCATAGGCAAATCTAGTTTCTCCTGGTAGAACAATAAGTGGAATCATCACCCCATCCCATGCTGGCAACCCCCCCCCCCCGCCCCAAACTCTTTGCCTGGCTCCCAAAGTGGCATTGCAAATTACTCCTGAATATTGCAGTTTTCCTTTCTTCCTTCCTCCCTCCCTCCCTCCCTTCCTTCTTTCCTTCCTTTCCTGAACTGTAAGCTTCCTAAATTCTATAATTCGTGCTGTGGAGAGAAGTGACAGCAAATGAGGTAGGTTCATGAGGATGGAGCCAAGTCCTGGTAAAGGGGAAGGAGCTATTGTCTAGTTCTGTTCCCAGCTGGTGCACCAACCTTTGTGACCTTGAGATCATCATGTGAGCTCCAGGCTTTAGTTTTAGAATTCCAGAATTTTAAAACTGAAGGGAACCTCTGAGATATAGTCTAGTCCAGTGATCTGCCCTCCAACATCCACCCTCCAAAACTTACCTATTGGATGTATGGAAACCCAAATATCTTTTATGAGATGATCTGAGAGATTCCTTTAATACTCTGTGTTCTTCTGCCAATAGTTCCAAGAAACAGCCTATAACCCATTAGGAAATGAACCTAGTAAAACCTAGAAAGCTATGCGTGTGGGGGAGCATGTTTGTGCATGCATAGTGCCAGTGTGTCACATTATATGTGTACAAATGTGCCTGTATGTTTCTGTGTTCTGGCTCTGTATTTGGCTCCTGAAAAGACCCTTCCTCTAATCTCAGATCTTTCGTCTTTTCTATTTAATATTCAGCCAAACCAAGTCAGTTTTTCAGCTCACCTGCATATTGTTGTGCTGCTCTCCACTCTGAAACCAAACAGAAGGGAAAGAGCTGAGTTAATAACTGGGGAATCTTGAGGGAGGCTCAAAATGCAGGAGGGGTGCCCATGAATCAAATAACCTCACCCCCACAGCTGGTTTGGCTCCAGACATGTCTGGGTCCACCATGATATTTTCCTTGGAATTTGGGGTTGGGTTGGGGGCTGTGGTTGTACCAAAGCTGTGTGCAGGCTGAAGTTGTGCTGGAAAAAGACCCAGTACAAGCAGTCTGGATGTCTTCAGCGATGGATGAATCTTTAAACTCTGACCTGAAAAGTTCAGCATGGTTCCTGTCCTAAAACATTCTCTAAACACCTGTCTTTCCTCAGTAGACCTTTTTTTTTTTTCTTTTTTTTCTTTTGGTACTGGGGATTTACTACTGAGCTACATCCCAAGACCCTTTATTTTTATTTTTATTTTTTAAATTTTGACACACGGTCTCACTAAGTTGCTTAGAGCCCCGCTAAGTTGCTGAGGCTGACTTTGAACTCACTATCCTCTTGCTTTAGCCTCCTGAATTGCTGGGATTACAAGTGTATACCACTTAGACCTCCTTTCTTAATGTGAGCCATACTAAGTAGATTTCTGTTTTGCAACAAAGATTTGACTAAAATCAATAGACAACATTTTCAGTGTTCCAAACATTATATCGGGTTTTGTATAACTAGTAGAACTTTAAAAACACAAACCTGTTGGGCAGAATAACTCAAGTCTATAAAATATTGTTCAAAGCAATCCCAAGCAAATAAATTTTTGGATATTTTTAGGAACTTCATAAATTTATCTATAATTTATATTTTTAAAGGCCCATTAACTTTAAACAGGAAGTAGAAAACTGAACTCAAATTCTATGCATGTATGAGTTTGTCAGGATGAACACAACTACTATAGAGCTCTAATAAATTTTTTTTTTTAAAAAAGTTAAAAAGAAAGTAAAAAGGGGAAAGGAGAAATTGTACTTTCAGTTGCTATAATAGCCATAGCAGTAGCCTGGCACAGTGGTACTTGTAATCCCAGCTAGTCAGGAAACTGAGGTAGGAAGAATCAGAAGCTCCAGGCAAGCCTGAGCAATTTAGTGAGATTCTGATAAATTTTTTTAAAAAGGGCTGTGGATGTAGCTCAGTGGTAAAGTGCTTATCTAGCATGTTTAAGGCCCTGGGGCCAAATCCCTAGCATAAAGAAAGCCATAGCAATAAAAAGAATGATGTGATAAGTGGTCCAATATACAGTCCCATCTAGACATGTCAGTGGAATATGCACTAAAGATGATACCTCACATCAGTGGGGAAATTATGGATAGTGTACGAGATGGCATTGGAAAAACTGTATATACAGAAGAATCACTGTATTCTCACCTAACACCCAGAAAATGGTGGATTCTAGGATTAAAAACCTACATATAACACATATTACTATAGTATGGATTTGAAATGTTTCCCAAAAACCATGTGTTAAAGGCTTGGTCCTCAGCTTGGAACTACTGAGAGGTGATGGAACCTTTAAAGGGGGGTGGCTATTTGGAGTTCTTCTGAATAAGACTATAGATGCCACTTATATAACTAAAATGCATATGGCAAAATAGAAACATTCATAATTTTGGATGGGGCAAAGGGGAGGGAGGGGAAGGGAGGGGGCATGGGGGTAGGAAAGATGGTAGGATGAGACAGACATCATTACCCTAGGTACATGTATGAAGACACAAATGGTGTGACTCTATTTTGTGTACAACCAGGGAAATAAAAAATTGTGCTCCATTTGTGTATTATGAACTGTAATACATTCTGCTATCATGTATAACAAATTAGAACAAACAAATAAATAAGAAACATTTGTAAGATTACATATAAAATAAAGACATACTGTTTGAGTAATGGGGGGGTGGAATTGGGAGGTATGGAGAGAAATAAATACATGGTAACATGCCCACTCTAGACCCACAAGGCAGTCTTTGCAGGTGGGCACCGGGAGTGTAGGTAATGTCATAAGCTACTAGGGTTGGAACCAATGGTTTCCAATATATTAAGGTCCTATAACAATATAAAAATAAATATGAAAGTAAAATTTGAGTATAACTTCTAACAAGTGACATGAGATTATGGAATGAAAATAGAATGAATCATCGTAGGTTAATCAGAGTGAGTGATCAAGATTCTGCAATGTAGATTTATGATGTAAGTCCCTGATTTATGGTGGCTTGACTTATGATTTTTGGACTTTACAATGAAGCAAAAGTCATACACATTTAGTAGAAACCATACTTCAAATTTTTTATTTTGACCTTTTCCCAGGCTAGTGACAATACCTGTTACCATACTCTCCTCAGATGCTGGGTAGCTATAGCCATTACTGGTACTTTACAGAATGCTGTATTGCTAAGCTATGAGTTAGGCAGGTTAGGCATATTAAGTGCATTTTTTACTTGCAGTATTTTCAACTTATGATGGGTTTAATTGGGATATAAATTGGGGAACACATTGAAAACTGTGGGAGAGAAATGATCTTCACTTACCAGCCTGACCTTCAGTCCTTCTCCAGTCTAAAACAGCAGAGGGAAATGGAATTAGAATATCAGGACACCACAGCTTCCCTGATCACATTAGAGTTTGTACACAACTTTCCCTCTCTCTGCCTTTTTCCTCTTTCTCCTGCCACCCACACAGCCAGCATCATTCCAGTCTAGGCATTATACCTCTGGTTGGGAGATGAGACAATCACCACTTACAAAAATGTGGACAGCAAGGAATAATTTCAATAGGGATCACTTACCAAGCTCTGTTTGAAGCTTCTCTGAAAGCAGAACACAGAAAATATCAATCTTTAGATGAATGGAACCACCTTCCCAAAACATGTCACTGGGAAGAGGTTCCTTAAACTACTGCCAACCTTAACCCCACCGTTGCCTCTGCATTGCCCTATAAAAGGCCACCCATCTGCAGATTCTGATGCCTCATCCTATTTACTTTAATGGCAGCTTAGCACCCACAGGTAGCCTGTCCTTTCAGCTTGTTTGGAAGAGAAGAGGTGCAGAAGTAAGGATTTAGAATAAGATTGGTGCCATCTATCTCTCCCCAAAGGCAGATGAAAAACACTGAACTCCTCCTTCCATTCTAGATGTCCCCTGGCAGCCAGCACTGTTGGTGAAGCAACCTGAACTTACTCAGCTGTGCAGTCAGTTTTCCTGCAGAAGAAAGGAAAGGAGGGAAAATTTTCAAGTTGAGGAATGAGTTCAATAAGACAGATCTATGAATGGTGAGGCTTCATTCTCCACAGAGTTCACAGACTTGCCCCCCTGCATCTAGGATGGGACTCTGGGCCAGAAGCAATTCGGCTCTGGGGAAGTTAAGGGTAAAAACAAACCTCTGTCCCACCTAACCTAACTCAGCCCTGCTCCTAACTCCACCCTCCGCCCTAATCTGGGGTCCTTGCCTTTTGACCCAGCGCCCTCTGTTGGTCAGGGATGTTGGACACAGAGCGCCTCTGGGGCAGTTTACCTTGTTCCTTCTTTGTCTGTTTCTTTAGCTTTTCTGAAGGGAAGAAAGAGAGAAGCTTTAATATGTGCCCTCCTCTGCCTGTTTCCAGGTCCTGTTTCTGCCTGAATAGGATGGTGCCTCTGTAAGCCACCCTGGGTCCCCTTCCTTCCCGTGGGTCCTTGGACGCTGCTGCCAGCACTTTCCTCCTAGGCCAAGCCAGCTGTAGGAGGGTGGTTCTCTGGCCTGCCTCATACCTTGAGACTGCTGTTGCTTGTGCAAGTAGTACAACGCCAGCATCGCGAGGAGGGCCAGGAGTAGCGGCAGTGCCACCAGGGTCCCTAAGAAAGCACTCTTCCAAGGGGAAGTTCCGGGAAGAAATACATCTGGAAAACACCCCGCACAGATTGTCTTGATTTAGGCTACTACTGAGAGAGACAAATAATTAGGACCTCGTGGGCTGGAAAATCTTCACAGTGGTCTTCAGTTGACCCGTTACACATTCTGGCCACCCTAGAGTCAAGTTAAAATGGGTGTGATAGGAGCCACCCTGGCATCTCTCAGTAGGTTCAGGTGGAAAGGTGTTGGACTTGAACTTGTCCACCAGAATGAGAAAGTGCTGCACATTGAAGTGAAAAGAGATGCACTGGGCAGGCATGGTGGTGGAGTCCTGTAATCTTGGCTAGGGAGGCTGAGGCAGCAGGTTCTCAAGTTTAAAGCCAGCCTCAGCAATTTAGCCAGGCCCTAAGCAACTTAGTGAGACCCTGTCACAAAATAAAAAATAAAAAGTCTGGGGATATGATTTAGTGTTTAAGTACCCCTGGGTTCAATCCCCAGTACAAAAAAAGAAAAAAAAAAAAAGAGATGAGAGCCAGCGAGAGTGATGCACTGGTATGCCTGTCCCTTCTGCTCCTGCTTAGAACTTCTATGACCACAGCTGTGACCTTCTACCACTTCTTACTCTTGCCTTTCATCTGGAGGAATTGAGAATTCAAGGTGTTTTATGCTTATATCTGAAACCTGGTTCTCTGTCAAATTCACAAATAGTCTCTCTGCCTAGTTGCAAACAATTGCCTCTTACATCTGTTGTCATCATACCTTTGGAAGAATTGCTAAAAAAGTTGGTAACCTGCTGACTGTCAGCTCCCCAGGCTCCCCAGGAAGATCTGCCCCCATGAAGGATGTGGCCAAGAGTCACAGTGACTGTAGATGTCACTTGTATAACTAATAACTTATATAACCATGGCCAGATGATCAAGAGATGATTCAACTTTCATCAAAAAGTCAATGAATGATCCTCAGCACCACATAAAAATAAATAAAAAAGATATTTTTAAAAAGTCAATGAATGAATCAATGATGACATTTTAATGCAAATATTGATTACTATTAAGTGTATGCACACAATTGTTTCTAGAAATACTGTAAATTGTAATTAAATATTTTAATGCTGTATTATCTAGGATGGCAAAATTATTAACAGGAAAATATACATTATATGCATATACATACTTACATAAATAAAATTTTTAAGAAGATTATAAAATATTTGTAACCTCTTGGGGGAAACTGCTTTCTTGGCATTCAGGATACGAGAAAGACCTATTTTAAACTACTTGCTTTAGTATTACTTAAAAATGTATTATAATCATGTACAATAAAAAAATTTTAAAACACTTAAAAAAAGAGATGAATGCAAAAGTGAAGAGCAATCCTTTAGAAACTCTTATGGCAATTTAATAATTTGTGTCTATTGAATTTATTTAAAAAGGATGCTTTTATCTCACAGGTCTTTTTGAAAACATCTTTATCTTAAAAAAAAACCTGTGATTAAATATAAAACAAAAAATCTATCCCCCACCCTGGTGCTGGGGATTGAACACAGACATGCTAGTGCATTCTCAGCCAGGCCTCAGTACCATTGTGTTCTCAGTATCAATGTGTCCTGTGGGTCAACTGACATAGAGAACATGATGATTAGGAAGAGAAGGATGAGCCAGCACCTACTGACCTGCTATCTGGACCACAAACTCTTTCTTCTGGATCAGCAGAGGGCTCTGGATGGAGCAGGACATGTTGCGATGGGCTTCACCTTGGACAACTACAGATGTTTCCAGATTGAACAGGCCCTTGACATCTTGGGTAATGACTTCAGACTCCAGTGGCAGGCACTGTCCCTGGTGATCTCTCCACTGAACTTTGGGTTTGGGGTACCAGCCATTGGAGGTGCATCTCATCTGAATGCCTCCTTCCTTAAAGCCTTCAATGTAGATATGTGGATCTGAGCCCAGCCCTGGGAGAGGCAGAAGGAGTGAGAATGATCAGTCAGGCACCTTCCCAGTAGTTGTGTGGGACGTTCATGCAACAGTTGCAATCTCCATAAGACACCAGGAGCAGAGACTGTTTTTAATGTGTGTGGGCTTTTGTAGCAATCATCCCATCCTCCATGGATTGCAAATTACAGTCTAGATTGGCAGTGGCATGTGGGGACAGTAATACCTTGAAGGACATTTGGAATGGAGAAAGCCTTAGTTGTGTTATTCAAGGAACAGTCCTTCTAGAATAAAGAATTTTTCTACCCCAAATTCCAATAGGTTGTCCTCTGTCTTGATTCTCTAAAGCGCAAATGCTTGTGTTATATATGCTATTCTTGTTAGCCCTATTCTTGTAGAAACAGAACCACCATCACACCACCCCACACCACCCTGCGGTCACTCATCTTGTAGTGTTAGCATTGAACCCAGGGCCTTGCACATGCTTGGCAAGTGCTCTACTCCAGAGCTGTATCCCTAGCCTCTTCCTTTGTTTCCTTTTGCAATGTTCCTCCTTCTTCTTTTCCTATACACAAACCACACATTATCCAACTTTCTTATCATTTTGATTTTTTTCTCTTAATACATCCAAGAAATTCCTCCACACTCATTCGTAGAGATCCTCATTTTTTTCTAGCAGCAGAGTGTGTATCATTACATTGTGTGTGAACCATGCTCATCTTCTATGTGTGGACATTTAGGCATTTTCCACTATTTTGCAATTACAAAAATTACTACAAAGATTAGCATAAATGAATGCCTTTTTCATATTGAAAGTGTTGGTGATACATCTTTAGGTTAAACTCCTGGAGGTGGGACTGCAGTGTCTAAGAACAGATGTACAGGAAGTCCTGTTATTTATTACCAAATTCCTCTGTCCTCAAGCTCCTGGACTTTGAATTCCACTAACAAAACAGCAGAAGCCCTGCCCCCCAAAAGCTCCACCAAGAATGTGTGGTCAAACTTTTGAATTTTTGTCACCTTGTAAGATTAAAAGATTACATCTTTATATAACTTTAATTTACCTTTCTCTCATTTAAAGTAAAAATGATAACCTTTTCATATGTTAAGGATCACTGTTGTGTGTGTGTGTGTGTGTGTGTGTGTGTGTGTGAGAGAGAGAGAGAGAGAGAGAGAGAGAGAGAGAGAGAGAGAGAGAGAAACTGTTTGCTTCTCTTGTCCATTTGCAAATGGACCTATCCTTTGTTTAAAAAAAAAATCACCCCCTCCAACAAATTAGGAATTTTCACTGATAGTATATTTACTTGAGCAAAGCCGCCCTATCTAAATTGATCATTTTCTCCTCTGTCCCTGCTGGTGCTTGGCCACAGCACGAACCTGCTACCTCCAGCTCCCAGATGGCTTCACCAGAGAAGTTGTTGGAGAGAAAGCTGCATCCATACAGGCCCTCGTCTGATGGAACGACGCTGCGGAGCAGCAAGACGACTTTGCCAGAGCTGATCTCCGTCGTGACGAGTTTGGTCCTGTTTTGGAACTGCGCCATCTGTCGGTCGAAGAGCTCCTGCCGCCCCTTGTACAGGTGCACTACATCCGAGGGCTGGCTCTGGAACCAGTGGATCTCCATGTCTTCAGCGTCCAGGAGCGGTGACAATTGGCACGGGAAATCCACCTCTTCCCCGACAATGGCCAGTATGGATTCCCCAGGGCCTATCACCTTGACCTCCTCTAGGATGACAAGCCAGAGTAATGACCCAAATCAATCTTCAAATATAATTATATCACTTTGCAGTTTAGAAATCTGTAATAGACTATTCAAACGATAAAGATGAGACCCTCTATGAAGAAAATCCACCCGGTTTATTGGACAAGTAACTGATATGGAAAAAAAAAATGAGTGCACAGGCTAAATCACATAAGGAACATGACAACCAGAGACAATGTGTGGTGCTGGACTGTTTATAGGTTTGAACCAACCAGGTATAGATGTTATCTGGGGGAATATGTAAATCTGGCCAGGGAATTAAGTGAAATGCAATGCTAGGCTAAGAAAAAGAAAGTTTCAAAACCAATATGAAAACTATTCTACAATCTTGGGTAAAAAATTAATATTTACATAACTGTTCAGAAAAAAAGATTGAAAAGGAGAGACACCAAATTGTTGTGGTGGTAATTTCTGCATAATAGGACTATTTACTTATTTCCATTTGTCAGCTTTTACAATTAAAAATATACCATGCACATATAGCTCTTCTAAAAACAAAAATATTTAAAATAACCTATGAGGGCTTCCTGATCCATGGATTTTCATAAAGACTACCCATTTTATTTTGAGAATAAGTCTTACATATGAGTTTATTAAATAAACGCATATGGAGATATAGATGCCATGAGTCATATAGCTTGAATACATGGAAAATTAACTTTTGGAGTAACAGAATATGAAGAATATATGAATACACAATTTTTTGGTCGCAGAAGACTCTTTATCCCAAGGCTATATTCCCTATGTAGTATTGGACTCAGAATTAACTCTGGGGAAGAGGAACAAATATTTTCTGGTACTTATGAATATTTCTCCATGTAACTCTTATTAATAATTTTGAAAATGTCTTTTCCTATTACTGTCATTGACAAACTCTAGAAAGTCTACAGTATAGGGAAACTCATAATTTGACAGAATCTAACAAAGCAAGGCAATTGGTTTTAGGAAAAACACATTAAAACAATTGATAATGAATAGAAGACCTTTAATATGAGTTCTTTAGTCATTGTATGGCAGAAAATTTCCCCATGAACTGGCTGCTGAAGAATCCTTCTTTAATAGTTCTCTTTTTCTTCTCAGAAATTGTATCCCTCCAACGACAAATGCCACTTAATCTATCATACATAAAATTTTTCATAATAAAATAATTTAAATATATACTTTCCTATTCAAAAGAATGTGTCTATTACCACCAAATAATTCCAACTTCAGAAATAAAACATCCACTTTTAAATTGAAATTTGTTTCTATCATATTAACTAGAATTATTAAATATATCTACAAACATAGATAAGCAGATAATGTAATGAATCTAAAATTCTAAAGAACTGTAATGTTGTGGTATTATCAGAAGCTCAGCATATTTATTACTGAACTCATGTTTTGTTGTCTGTCAGGAATTACCATCAAGGAGCATGTGTTTTGTGTGTTTTTTTTCCCCGCATTAATAAGCCTTTTTATTGTTGTCTTTTGTTTTTTTTAATCGAAGGTCCCTTACTGGTCCTGCTTCCATGAATGGTCATACCAAGAGAATAGGGAGGGGAACCAGGTGGCCCAGGGAGGGATCATCTCCACAATATTCCATTTATACACAGAACTAAATAGACAAGCACAGAGTCACTATTGTGGTTAGAAGTTGGCAGCATGGGATGGGGAGGAATAGGTAGGAAATAGGGATGTCATTAGAAAAAATACAGCCCCCCCCCACCACCCCAAGCTGGGAGAAGACTTGGCCTGTTTCAAAGCAAGAGGAATGGAAGATCAAAAGCAATTTGGGAAGGCCAGAACCTTCAGGGATAGAGGGAAGAAGAAGGTCCAGGGGGAAGATCACCCAAATTTTGCTCTTGAGACTTAATTTATCATGATCTTTCATTTGATCATTCTCTTCCTCCATGGTGTCTTCATGTGGTCACTCTGCTCCCCCAAACTCATATATTTCCTTCTTTCCAAGTTCAGTTAAAACCTCTGTCCAAAGTCCAATCACTCTTGATTCCTTTCCATCCTTCACTTTGCCCATAGACTATGGATACATCTTTCTTTCTGTAATTTGAGATTCTTGTTGTCTCCTGAGTGAATCGCCAGCATCAACCTGGCAGCTTTCTTCTCCAGGGTCTCCCAACTATCTCACTAAACATTCAATGTTTGGTTCTCTTCCCTGCCTCAGTTTATCCTCCATCTTCATTTTTCCTGGAGAATGTACACCCTGAGTGGCACTGCACAAACAGTACCTCCTCTCTGTGCCTCTCCTTGCTTCTTGGGGAAAGAGAATTGCTCTTAGTTGTGCTTAGCTGTCACCCCAAAGTCTTTGGACATGGTTTTCTTGCAGTTGTTTATGTCACATACATTCTGCTCCATTGATCATGAGCTGCTTAAGGATCTGACCCTGGTTCCCAGACAAAGATATTAGGAAATTTCATTTGCATAATTAATTTGCACTTTCTTTCTTCTTCTCCTTCTCCTTCTTCTTCACCAGAGATCAAACCCAGGATGCTTAACCACCAAGCCACACCTTGAGCCCTTTTTTTTATGTTTTATTATGAGACAGGACCTCACTAAGTTTCTGAAACTGGCTTTGAACTTTTGATTCTCCTGCCTCCTGAGCCACTGGGATTCAAATGTGTACCACTGCACCTGGCTGATTGCTTCTTTTGTGAGATGGTAGAATTGGGAGAAATTTTCCCTGTTCTTCAAAAGCTCTGCAAGTGATGGAGTTAAAAATATTTACTAACTGGTTAAGCATAAACACAGATCAAGAAGAGTTTCCTAGCACCTTCCTGCCTTGCTTTTTGCATGCCCAACTTCAGGGTCCTAGGAAGTGTAAGAGGGGTCCTAGGGGCTGGCAAAATGGTGGAGAGGCATGAAGTGGCTGAATGGTGCCCAGGGGAAGCGGCTCTTTAAAAACTGGGATGGGAATCTCTTTGTATTTTAGCAAGTGGCAATGACTGGTCCTGTTTTATAAGATCTCAGCCCTGGAAGCACTTGGCACAAGGGGTAGGCAGAGCTGAGGTGCTCATGTCCTGGTTGGATGAGCTACAGGGTGATGCAGGTCAGAAGCATTACCTGAATTTGCCTCCTCATGCTGAAGGAAAAGGAGAAGGTAGGTGAGGAAGAAGAGATTGCTGGGCAGAGGTACTTGCTTCAAAAAATCCACGGATACTGGGAAATCCTCCATTAGCAGTAAGGGCCACCTGGAGAGAGACAAAGGGGTGACACATGGCAGCTTGACTTGGCCCATAAGGCCTGTGATCTGTTGTTGCTTCAATTATTATTATTATTATTATTATTATTGTCAAATACAATTATTGAGTTTCTTACAAATGTGCCAGTACCTGGCTTTTTTTAAACCAGGACCGGATGTGAGATCTGCTTCTATTTTTACCAAGCAACATTGTTAATAGCATCATTGGCCTTGCTCTACCTTACACAGCTTCAAGAGGACAGGCCTGAGCATCCCAGAGGAAGCAGCTCCTGAGCTAATATTGTTCAGAGCCAGGAATAGAGCCATACATTGTGTGGGGGCTCAGCACCACCCTCCTCTGGAGTTAGTGGAGTTCCCCAAACAAAGGGAAATCTCTGAAGAATCTGATTCTTTTATTCTCCTTTCCTCACCACCACAAGCCCAAGCTTGTTTTCACTTCTATTTGTCCTAGAACATCAGGTCCACAAAACAGAGGAAAAAACATAGTTCTACTCTTTTTTTTTCAAAATGAAGTATGCTCCCAATGGCTGCCTGCCAACTCTAGTAACATTCTGGGAAATGTCTGTCCAGACCTGAGATCTCAGGTGGTGCTTCCAGGGGGTCAACTGTTCCTGTGTTTGTAGAATCTTTGAGGCCTCAGTGATGGAGTCATTCCATCTAGACATCCCTTCTTCCACCTCTGGTCCAGGAGAACCAATCCCAGCTCAGACAAGGGCTGACCCCTTTAACTCTAGTGTCCCCTTGGGCCTATAGTAGCATCTCAGAGTCTGATGGCCGATGAGCATCTTTGAATTCATATAAGCCTCTCCATATTTCTCCTTCATTTAGTTGTAGGATCTTAGGCAGTTTTTGTCACTGGATGAACCTCAATCTTTGCTTGAACAATGGGAGAAACCACTTCCATCTCTTCCAGAGACTGCCTCTCTCTCTTTTCACCCTCAGAGGGGGAGAGTCTACAGTGAGTTTCTACTCTCCAGTTCTCCTCAGTTCCCTCCTCTGCCTTCTGCCTTCATATTCCTCACTATTTGGTTTTCCTTCTGCAGACTTTTGGATGGTATGTGCTTCCAGCATCCTGCGGCTTTAGTGCCTCAGCCACACTGTCAGCAATACCACAGGCAAGGTGTTGATGGAGGAATTTAAAGGCCACTGGGTCATGCAACAGAAGAGCAGTCAAAGAGTATTATTACTACTATTACTAATAAGTCTAAATTACAGATAAGAACCGAGTAGCTAAGGGACTTGCCCCTGCACACACTGAGCTGGGAAGGACTCAACGCTGACAGGAATACAATGGGAGGAAGAAGCAATGGCCTGAGAAGTGAGTGGGCCAGGTAATGGTGGTCCCAGAGCTCAAACGTGGTAGGAAAAAGCAGGGGGACAAGTCAGCATGGCTTCATTTTTATGCCTCAGATTCCTCGAAGGGAGACATCAGCATCCCCTCTGGAAGGGGCCAGGCTGTTTTAATAGCCAGTGATTATTGGAATAATTTTTTACACAATAATTATCACAAACTGAGGCCTTAGGCGGGGTCAAAGCTCCGGCAGGACAGTCTGATCTCTTGCCTTTTGTAGCAGATGGCAGGAAAGTCTCTGTGACAGGCCTGGAAATGAGGAGTGAAGGAGTAGAGTCCACACTGGCTTTGCATTTGCTCATCCTCTTCTTTATTCTCCTTTCTTCCCTTTTGTGCCTGTATCTTTTCTTTGGGGCTCTAGATATAGATTAGAGCTGCATGGGGACAGAGCCATGAGGAGCATATAAGTGAGCAAGCTAATGCCCTCTAAAAGAAGAGGAGCTCAGACTATGTTTAGAGACCCATTTGTATGAGCCAGATTCTGAGAAATTAGTCATGACATGTATTAGGTGGTAACATCCATCCTCCCATGAGGAGGTGATAGTAATAAGAGCTGAGAGCAGGATGGCCTCTCAGAATGAGCACCTGCTCTAATTACCCTAGACAGGGGGATGCTGCCATTTCCCAACGGGGCAAGAGATTGGGGCAGTGTGCTCCAGAACTGTGGCATTGTTAGAGGATTGCAGTTCTCTGTTGTGATATACCCATGTGCTTCTCATCACTGAGGCTACAGGAGAGGCCGTTGTAAACACATATAAGCACACAAGCACGTGCATGAGCCCACAGTAATAAAAACTGATACTTATTATCTATCAAGCATTCACCTGTACCATGAATATTATTACTACTATTATTAATAAGTTTAAATTACAGATAATAACTGAGTGGCTAAGGGACTTGCCCGTGCACACACTGGTAGTGAGTAGTGTAGTAAGGTTTCCTTCACCTGAGCTGTCTGGTTCCAGAGCCTTACTCTGTGCTTCTGTCCATACAGATTCCTTGCCAGTTGTGTTGTGTGTCAGGTCACCCTCAGCCACTCCTGCAACCCAAGACCATTATTGCTGTAAGGAACTACCCAAACTTTTATTCAGATCAGCTATCTCACAAATGTTCCAAAGAAGAGACTGGGTCACAAGGTGTCAGCCACAAAACCAAGCAAGTGAAAATCAATGAATACAAATTTAAAAATCCCACTGCCAAATAAAACAGCTTAAGCCAGAGCCTCCTTAACAGTGTCAACAGCATCTGCTTAGGCAGGAGGCATAGGTGCCAGTCCTATTATTAAATACTAAAGGACATTACCTTGAAAGATTTTAATTGGAGGAAATGTTTGGCAATTTCCTGAAGCGAAGAGTCAGTGACTTCAGAGGGGTCCAAAACAGTAGTACCTCTTCCCCACTTGGCTGCCTGAAGTTTGCCCTTTCTAACCTTACTCTCCAGTTTAAAGACTCTGGTCCTTATTGAAATACACATACTATAAGGCACAGTCAAATGAATTTTAGATTCTGGTTCTGGTGAAGAGGTTTTGATGAGGGGAAGGAATAAGAGGCTGAACATGCTGGAAGAACACAGTGAGAAGAAGGATGGCCAAAAAGGGGGCCTCAGACTGGGATCTGCCATGTTTGTGGGGTCCATTTCCCCTGTTCTCTTGGGAACCTGTGGGTCATTTCCTTCTGAAGACACAAAGAGTAATAGGATCTCGTGCACACTGAAATACTGCCACCCTCCACCCAGGGGGAGTCCATTTCTCTCCTTCCCCCTTTCTCTTTCTTCTCTCTTTTTCCTTCTCCCTCTTTCCTTTCCCCCAGCCCAGCCCTATGCCTATTCTTTCCTCCTGAATTTCCAATTCCTAAGCAAAATCCTGTGATCTCTTGACTTGCAGTCCCTTAGCACTTGAGTCTTTCTTTATATTACTTATGTTTTGCTTTGCTGCTTTTGCAAATTGTTTTACAGGTGTGCATTCTGCCTTCCTCTTATCCCCATGTCCTAAGCCGTGTCTATTCTCCCACCTTCTCCCTCAAGCACCCAGTGGGATGTTTTGCCCTCAGCAGCCACCAGTAATTGCTCACTGGCCTGACTGGTTTGATTTCAATAGACCCACAAAAGGATTTCCACCCTTTTTAAGGGAAATGGATCACCTCAATAAGGGGGCCTCAATGAGGTTTCAAATCCTTTTCTTCTGGGGGCAATGGGATGTATCAAAACCCTGCCTTCTCAGGGGGGCCTGCCTGAATGGGCACCCCTTAGCCACACTTGAAACTCCCATCCTGCCTACAGGCACAGCTAAGAGGATACCCACCATGGTATGCTCTTCCCAGCACCAGAACCTTCCACCATAGTTTTCTGCTCTTCATTTCTGAAAGGTGGAGGTTTAGACAGGTGTTGAAAGTGCAACCACATACCTTTCAGGTAGCAGCAAAGCGTCCAAAATGGCTAAGTCCCAGCAATCTCACGTTCCTCTGCAAAGTGAGACAATTGTTGTGAAGTGTCTTAGTCCTTTTTAGATAGAGGCTGGCAGCTGAGTTCAGGGGGACAGCTCATTTGTGACAGAATTATTCACCCACCTCCCACCTTAGGACATGTGCTGTTGGCTCTGCTCTTGGCTATAAAAATCAAGATAGATAGAACAAAACGAGGAAGTCTCTGTCATATCCTGTCTCTGTGAGGAAAATCGCAAATTAAAATTCCCATGGAAAATGTCTCCCGCCCCCAAGGGTCTTAGAAGCAGGGTAAAGGTATCTGAGAACTTTGTAGAAAAGACTGCAAGTTGCAGAGGCTCAGAGCAGGGAAAGAATTTTCCAACTGGTTGCATGGGATCTCTAGCAGTTTGAGCTGGGTTTCAGGCAGGAAGGGTGCATCCCTGGCCAGCCTCTCTCTTCTTACAGTCACAGTGAAAGCAATGAGACTAGATTGCAATATTCACAAAAGGTTGGGACGGTGCTAGTGTTCAACTTGTACTGACACCACCATACCATCCTCTCCAGGAAAAAATCAGTAAAGAAATAACCTGGAAGTTTTGCCACCAGCAAAATTTGCAAGAGCTGTTCACATACAATTTAGAATAGACTGGTGCGTTGAATTAGGATTTATCTAGAGAGCAAAGCTCAAAAAAGAAGTAAGTACTACTCCCTTCACTCCATCTTGCCCTAAGAAACTTTGTTATTAGTGGGAAAGAAGAGCAGAGGACCAAGCTGTAGCCACCATCCTCTCTAAGGACAGGACAGAGCTGGGCACAGGGCAGCTCAACAAGGAAGGAGCTTCCAGAAATACTCAGTGTTTGAAGACAGGCCTGTGCACAGGCCAGGGATCTGGGTGACTAGGTTTAGGCAAAAACCAGTAAGCAATGCAGTGCAGACTTGAAGGTATCATATGTTTTCCACAAGCTGGTAAGGCTGGAAATTGGAACTTATACTTACACAAAGATGTGCTCAGAGCAGAAAAGAGGCCAGTTGGCGAGACAAAAGAGTGCTCAGGGACAGATTAAACTTTAAGTGGCTACTGAATAAAGAGGAAGATCTGAAAAGCAATAGGAAAAAGAGGAGGGGGGGGCAGGCAAAGACACTGTGAGTGAAAGGAGGTGACTAGTGTGTGTGTGTGTGTGGAGAAAAACCTTGCTGGTTCATGTGTGTGGGGAGAAAAACCTTGCTGGTTAAATTTTATGAAATTTGAAAGTGAAAAGCAAGGTTGAACAAAAGTAGATGGGACCAAATTTCAGAGGTCCTTGGATGCCACACAGCAGAGTAGAACATTGTTCGATGGGCAGCCAGAAATTGCTTGGAACTTCAAAGGACCTAAAGTGGAATCACCCTTATAGAAAGGGGCTATTGAGAAACTTTAATTAAAAAATTTTCATTGCTATTCCTCTGGATTTTCCATGCTTCCTAGGGAGAGGTAAGATTGTCACAGCAGAAATAGCAGAGAGAGAAAGAGGCAAAGTTTTCTACTTTGACTCCCAGAGCCAGTCCTGCTAAGACATGGGAGGGAGATGCCACCTACCAGCTACCACTGCCTGCATATCAGGGTGCATGGTCCGGCAGGATCTATGTTCCCCACTGTTTTCCATCCTACAAGCTGCATATAAGTACCTTCATTCCAACGCTTCAGGAAACACAGAAAGACCTATATGCAAAAAGGAGGCTGAGCACAGGAATCCTGGTGAATTGTAAGTAGGAAGGGGTGGGAAGAGTCCATACTTGTCCTTGGACAGTGGAGAACCCACCCCATTACACAGTCTCTGCATCAGGTAATTTAGGTCAATTCTCCCTGGTATATACCAGTCTCTACCATGGGGTTGTCTGAGGAAATTCTGGGGGTGGGGGATGTGGGAGAATCCCCTTCCCCTACACAAAAGCTACTCTCACACACAGCATGGGGTACCAGAGGAGAGGGAATACAAAAACACCAAAATCATAAGAAGATCTATGAATCCTTCTCCTTTTCCAGGGAATATATAAGATAAAGTACTATAAGCAGGATGTAGCTCAGTGGTAGAACACTTCCCTAGCATGCATGAGGTTCTAGGTTCCAGCAAAACACACAGGAAGAAAGAAAGAGAGAAAGAAAAGAAAAGAAAAAAACAAAACTGAACACAAAGGCAGGCTTGGGGTGAGGAATCGACTCCTCTCTTGAGTTTATAAAAATGTTTTCCCTCATCTGCAGATTCCATCCAGTCATCTGTCTCACCTCTATTTTCACCTCTCAATCTGCATCCTTGCTTTTCCAACCTTCTCTCTTTGTATTCTTGGCTCTTAATCTCTTCACCAGCCAAGGACACAAGGCTATCAGGTCCATTCCCCTGCCTATGCATGTGTCAGCTTGTCTATCTGTTCTCTCTGCCAATCCCCACTCTTCCCCCAAGATTCTGCTCAAGATTTCTTCTTCCCATGTCTTTGGGGGTAAACTCAGCTTCTCTATATGCTGAGTGCCTTCTCACGCCTCAGTTTTTTCCCTTAGGGTTAAAACATGGATTAATGTCTACTGAGACACATTTGCAAGTGCCTTTTTGTTTATTTATTTATTTATTTTTTGTTTTGTGATATTGGGGTTGAACCTAAGGCCTCATGCATGTTAGGCAAGTGCCTTACTACTGGGCTATATTCTCGACCCTTTTTATATTTTTAAATTTTGAGACAGGGTCTTGTTAAGTTGCCCAGGTGTCGCGATGGGCAAAAGTGTGACATCTGCAGTCGAGGGGAGAGATAAAGAATGTCCACATGCTTCTGCCCTTTTCAATGTTTTATTCACTCAAATCACTTAATACAATTTCACTGTATAGGTTTTTTTTTTAAAGAGTGAGAGAGAGAATTTTTTTAATATTTATTTTTTAGTTTTCGGTGGACACAACATCTTTATTTTATTTTTTTATGTGGTGCTGAGGATCGAACCCAGTGCCCCACGCATGCCAGGCAAGCGCACTACCATTTGAGCCACATCCCCAGCTCTCTATAGGTTCTTAATCAAGGAATGACAATCCTTACTGCTGGGCATTGCATTAGACATAATCAACTCAACTCTAAGCACTGCAATCACACTTAATCATGACAGACCTATTACAGACATTCCCTCTGCATGCTAATTGTAAGTGCTAGATTTAAAGTCTTAAGTCTTAGATCTTAAGTCCATCAGATGCACACTCACTCAGACCACAGCGACCAGGTCAGGAACAGATAGAGGCTTCTCCTAGGGTGGAGCTGTGGCTGCCTGAGGACACAGTTGTAAGAAGTTGCCCTTCTCACCAGGGTCAAGAGGCTGCTGCAGAGTTTGAGAGTGCAGAGGATAATACAGGGGATCAAGCAGATGATAAGAGTTGGAATGTCAGTCCAGGTCCTCATCAGGTTCTCTGGCCTATGTGCATCAGTATCAGGTGGCTTGAATGTCTGTTCATTTCCTCCAATATTTATATTAAATTTTGGAAGCTTCTGCGTGCCCTTTGGGTCCCTATTAGCTGCTACCAGGTTTCTTAGTGACAACTTACATCTTAAAGAAGGTATATGGTCTGGTGGTTTCTGCCCTGATACTCTTCTGAGTATCAGGTTATGACAAATGACATGTGACTTCACCCTGACTCTTACCAGGGTTGTGGAAAGTGACTTGCTTTTATCAGGCTATGCCTGATTGACATATTGAAGAGCTCTATAGCTTTTCTAGTGAGACTGCAGGTTTATTTTAAAATGGAGTTGCTTAGGCTAAGGCCTAAGGCCATCCTTACACCAGGCTGACCTCAAACTTGTAGTCCCCCTCCTTCAGTGGTTGGGATTACAGTTGCGTGCTACCACACCAGCTCCAAGTGTTTTTATGTAACTGTATTTTCTTTTCAACTACAATTCTGTCTCCAGAGTTCAGGGACAGAGTTACCTTGGTCCTTGGCAAATTTTCATGGGTACTTATACTGAATTCTCCTCACAAAGGATGCTAACCTGTCATGTGGGTTGATATACAAAAGAAGAGAGAGTCACGAAGGGAAGATGAGTTTTGTTCTGCACTGTTCAGAGGCAGAAAAGTGGATTAATCAACCTCCCTGCCGAATATGACCCCCTGAGCCATCCTCATTAGCCATCTTCATTTCTCATTCTCCAAAGACCTTTGACTGAAATTCCTGTGCCTATTAGTTGGCTTGGAGCCCACCATTGTGCTTTTGTCACAGAGATAGTGAAGTACACACATCCAATGAGAAAAAGGGAGAAGCCCACTGATTATTCTCACCATTACAGGAAAGGGCTCATCTTTAGCTGGGTCCTGGGGATGTAAGGGGCTACAGAAGTTGTTCACATCCTTTATAGTCAGATTTCCATTTCTGTAACAAAATACCTGAGAAAACCAACTTAAAAAGAGGAAAAGTTTATTTTGGCTTATGGTTTCAATATTTAGTTGGTTCAATTATTTCTTGGCCTATGGCAAGGCAGAACATAATGGTGGGGAGTGCATAGTGAAGCGAAGCTGCTTACCTGATGGTTGCAAACAAAAAAGATAGGGGTAAGGAACTGGGGTTCCAATATCCCCTTCCAGGATACACAAGTGGCCTAACTTCCTTTCCCTATGCCCCGCCTCCTAAAGATTCCACCATCTCCAATAGTGCCACAGGCTGGTGAACAAGTCTCTGACATGTGGCTTTGGGGGGACATTTAAGATCCAAACCACAGTCCCTTTAAAGAGTTCTATCCCAAAATATCAGCATTAGTCTTTCCGACTTCAGAGGAATTCCTCTGAAGTACAGACGAAGTTAACATTCCCTTGTTAAATCAAAATAAAATTGGCCTGAGGAAGCTTCCATACAAGCCCTCACTTACCCAACTGCAACTTAATTTAGTGCATAAGTAAACTTAAGCAGGAGTAAACTTTTGTAACAAATAGTTAAGTCTCAGCCAGTCACAGCAGCCAAACTTTGATCAAGCACATGCAGCTAACTGTTCAAACAAAGCAGACTCAATTTGTAATCCATGGAGCAGTTTCTTTACCTCATTTCATTTTCTGTACCTCACTCTCCATTTTGCACATTGCAGCTGCAGAGTTCCTCTGAATCCATTCTGGTTAGGAGGACTGCCAAATTCTAGAAATGAAAATAAAAGCCAATCCAGATTCATAAAACTAGATTTGTTGTAATTTTA